CGGCAAACTGGGGCGAGGGGGGGCGGGGGTTACGCGAGGTGCCGATCTCGGCGGAACCTCGGCTGCACCTCGGCTGGTTCTTGGCTGCATCTCAATATTGCCACCTCGGCCGCCTCTCGGCTGCCTCTCGGCTGCATATCGGCTGTCTCTCGGCTGTCTCTCGGCTGCCTCTCGGCTGTCTCTCGGCTGCCTCTCGGCTGCCTCTCGGCTGTATCTCGGCTGTATCTCGGCCGCACCTCGGCTGCACCTCGGCCGCACCTCGGCCGCATCTCGGCTGTATCTCGGCTGCATCTCGGCTTGCAGGTGCCGCGGGTACGGCAGACGTCGGCAGAGATCAAGAGCCAGAGGGAGCGGATGGGGCAGGGACCGCAGGACGCTCGCTCGCGCCTCTCGCGCCACCTGGGCCTGCCTGGCTTCAAGATCCTTGCCTGGTCAGTACACCATCACTCACTAGTCCTGCTGTTGGTTGATCAGGCTTGCGGGGCTTCAAGATCAAGGACGTGTCTGATTAGTACACATGCACTCACTAGTCCTGCTGTTGGTTGGATAGGCTTGCGCGGCTTCAAGAGCAAGGACGTGCCTGGTCAGTACACCATCACTCACTAGTCCTGCTGTTGGTTGAGCAGGCTTGCGCGGCTTCAAGATCAAGGACGTGCCTGGAGACAACAACTGCCAGTTCCACGCGCTGACCGACCAGCTGGAGCAGCTCGGCATCAGCGGCTGGTCGGCCGTATGCTTAATTAATAGGCTGCCGCATCAAATCGGCTTAATTAGTAGGCATCAGCGGCTGGTCGGCCATCTCGATGCGGAAGAAGACCGTGCAGTGGCTGAGGGAGAACGGCGAGATTCGGCCCGAGATACACCCGAGATACACCCGAGATTGGGCGAGATTGGGCGAGATCAGCCGAGATTGCAGCGTTCGGCCCGAGATCCACCCGAGATTCACCCGAGATCGGCCCGAGATCGGCCCGAGATCGGCCCGAGATCGGCCCGAGCCCTGCGTCTCTTCACAGCTCTGCCGTGTGAACAGGCAGCCGAGCGATGGACGACGGCTCCGTCGGCGAGTCGACTCGAGCTGCATGATGATTCCTACTCTCACATGCGGTATTAATGAGACTGGTTGGTGGTCTCACCAGGCGAGTCCTTCAAGCTGCGCGACAGCGTCGGCGTCGAGGACTGGGACCGGTACATCCGAGAGATGTCGCAGCACGGGGTCACGTGGGGCGACGAGGCGCGAGATCGAGCCGAGATCTAGCCGAGATCGAGACGAGATGCCGCACGAGATGTGCGAAGCCACCTCTCGGCCGTCCTCCTCTCGAGATCGAAATCAGCCGGAGATTGGCCGAGATTGGCCGAGAGTAGGCGACGCTGCTCGCGGCCTCCGTCATCTTCAAGACGGAGATCGTCGTCATCTCGTCGCTCTCTCCCGACTACTGCCACACCATCACGCCGCCGGACGTGTGGAAGGCGCCGAGATCAGCCGAGATGTAGCCGAGGTATCGCCGAGATAACACCCGGCCATGTTCGACCATACCTCGATAGTACCACGGCCATGGTTCGACCATATCTCGACCATATCTCGACCACATCTCGATCATATCTCGACCTTATCTCCGCCGCATCTCCGCCAGGTGCCGCTCACGATGCGCATCTACCTCGGCCACTTCGCAGAGTTCCACTACGTCTCCACCCGCCCCATCTGAGCCGCGCCGCTGCGGCGCTGCACACGCGAGGCACGCGAGGCACGCGAGGCACGCGAGGCACGCGAGGCACGCGAGGCACGCGAGGCATGCGGCGGTGGCGCGCGGCAGGGGAGGCGTTGGTGTTGGTCGGCGTGGAGGCGGTGGCGCCGGTGGGTGTGGGTGTGCGGCGTGGAGACGCTTCTGTGTTCTGTGTTGTCTTTGTGTTGAGTCGGGTGGTGTGTGTGTTTGCGTGTGTGTGTGCTGTGTGGCCTCCACCGAAACCGTATTGGAAGACTTGGAGGTAGGTAGGTAGGTACTTGGACCGGGCCGCTCCCTCTCCTTGGACCACAGGGATTTTAAGGAGAGGAGGAATTCTCTGCGCCCCAGTGCCCAGACGCACTAATCCCGCGCCCCGGTTTTTTCGCCAGCCTAGTGCGTTCGGTTGATTGAGGAAACCCCTCGCCGAGTTAGCTGCTTTTAGTCGCGTGCGCGTATGCTCGCTGTCGTTGCAGTCTCTGGAGGCTGCGCCGCGGCTC